GTTCTTGGGAAAGAACATCCAAGCTTTCCTCTTGGCCTGGCAGACATCTCACCCTACAGCAAAACAGAGCAACACCTCTGGGCTGCATGGTCCAGAGCGCCTCCTTAACCAGCCTTGCTTTGAACTTGGGTGCCAGCTGAGGTCCTTTGACAGCTACTCTCTTTGGCTGTTACCTTGTTGGTTTTGTGTGCTGCAGCATCCAAGCAGCTTCCTTCTTCAGTGAAGAATTTCGCGGGTAGGAGCCTGCCTGCCCTCTCCTTTGTAGCCCAGTGCACTGGAGTTGTCCAGGACACAATTAAAATGTTCTGCATCTCTTACAACGTAAGGTCTCCAGGGCATGGATTTTTTTTGGTAAGTTGAGATCAGGTCTATAAACCCCAAGATTTAATGTCTCTTTATCTCCCCATGGAGGGACTTGTTCTTTTTACTACCTCTATATCAATACACCCAGTGTGTAGCAAGTGGCCCAATTTCTTTGTCTCCTGACATCCTGAACCCAGAAGCAGATGGACGTTAGCCAGCTCTGATTAGTTGGGAGAATCAAGCATTAATTTTTTATACACCAGGACCACCTGAGTGACGGAAATCAATTATGGCTGCCCCTCCCCCTTCCATATTAATGTGGTGGCTCCGAGCAGAGATGGAGGGACCTGTTGAAATGAGAAACCCCTATTTCTTAGTTTGACCCCCTGGATAATTAGGGTTAAATTGATATGCTATCGCACTGGTGACACATTTTATCTGCCTCTGTTTGTACAAGAGGATACAATAGTGGAGGAAGGACCAATTTGTGCCCTGCTCTAGCTAACCAGACCGAGATAAAAGGTGTCACTAGTACGATAACGTTCTTGCCTCATGCTCCTTTATTGTTGCTCAATTTGCTTTTTTTTTTTTTTAATCCTGTTCTTTTTCTTTCAATACCCTTGGTCATATTTTAACTCCATGCCATCGCATAATGACGCCCTGCTAAATGTGTGTGGAGATAGGCAACTCTGGCTGACAGCCTTCCCTGATAACCGAATTCCAGCCCATCCATCACTAGGCTGCTCTCCTTAACTTAAGGAAAGTGATAACTAAAGCAAGGCCGTTTATCACCACCGAGCTGTGTTCTTCTTGCTGCCTTGGAGAGTGCTGGCTTCAACGGGAGAAATGCAGCCATGTCACCTCACCTCCTGTTTGCATCCTGTTCATCTCCAGGCCCGGTTTACCCGGCAGGGTGGAGGAGCAGGGCTGAGTGGAAATGGGAGCCTGGGGTGATGAAAGCTCTCTGAAGATGGTGGAGTTGCCACTGCTAACCACAGTCTAAGAAGGACTTGGACTTGCCTGACTGGTGGAGGAGAGCATGCCACCTGATGTCACTTGCTTTTCTGCCCAAAGGGGATCTGCATTTTGGGAGCAGGTGGAGGTCATGCACGTTTATCTCTGCTACTAGGAGAATGGAGCTGCATCAGAGGCTGGAAAATCCCACAGCCATTTTCAAGTTTCTTTCTATTAAATGCAGTCATACCTGAAGCCATGATGTTTGGCTCACGGTGGTTTTGAAAGCTTGCTTCCTTCCCAAGGAGTGGGTGCTTCAGTGTTTGGGGAGGCAGTGAGACCTTGTTCAAAAACTGGAAGGATCATGGAATGATGAATGCAGTGAAATGTATCATCATTTCTCTTCTCCCTTACCTGAGGGAGAGTCGAATCCTGAGCTCTCTGATCAAGTAAAGCTGCTCCCAGTGAGCAAGGCTGACTCTGGCAAGAGCAAGAAGTCTTACTGAGCATAAGAGGCTGTTTCTCAAATAAACTGCTCAAGTGAATGGTGCCCCTGATAAATGGACATGCTTCCTTACAGATCATGGCAATTTTGCTCCCCAGGACAGCCACAGATGTGCCTTATTCACTCCAGTCTGGAGAAGATAATGGAGAAACTCCTGCCTAGTCACTAGGCTGAAGTGTCGGGGGTACCACTGCAAGTGACAAGCTTGGGGCTGGGGAAAAGACACTGGAGAAGTGTTTTCCTTCCCACAGCTACCTGGGAACCTGATTTCTGTGTGGTGAAAGCCCCTGGTTCCCTGTGCTGTGAGTGCTGCATATCCAGACTACACTGGACCTGTATAGCAATTCTTTGCTAATCCTTGCTAAGTGGCTGTGTCCCCCCTGGCCTGGAGCCGCCAGGCCTGCATCTTCCAGCTCTGACAGTAGACTGATGCTTTGGTCCATGCTGCCAACAGCCCACCCAGGTTAGAGCGTGAGCGTAGGTCTCCCAGTGCTTGCAAAGCTTGGTGAAGCCCCTCTGGTGCTGATGTGAAATGAGGGGAGCACAAGCATGGTGGGGGAGGGGGAATGTCCTGAGGTCACACGGCTTCACAGGCAGTTTCTAGGGTTGTTACTTGTTTGCAAAAATGTGTCATTTATTTAGTTGACATATTTATTTGGAGCATTTATTTTCTCCAATTAAAGACCCACTGTCCAGTGCCCAGGGCATACTGCCATCCGTCTCAGGGTGGAAATGGAACCAGACTGTCCAGTTTGCTGGGCCTTTCGGTCCCACAGGGATGGCAATGCTTTAGATGTCATTCATTGCACTGGGTGGTTAGCTGTCAATTCCTGTGGCTAACAAGAACAATGCTGCACTCACTTCTGGGCCCTACCCAGATATTGCTGCATGGATAATTATTCCTCTAACTGGAGCTAGACTGAGACCTGTATTAATCAAAGCCTCTTGGGTTGGGAGGAGAAACTCAGTTCTTATTAACATACGTTTTGCTAACTTCTGTCATCATCCTTTCTAGCAAAATGTGAGCAGTCTAAGAGAGGTTGAACTAATCATGTGTCTGCATTTAGACCAGTTGTTTGGTTTAGATGGTTCCTTTTTATGTGATCTTTTTTGATAGGGCACCAGTAGGAAGCAGCTTTCCTGGAGAAGGAGCATTCTTAGTATGCTGGTTGAGGCTGGTGGAGTCTGTTCATGAACATATGTGTAATGGCTGTAAAATGCATGGACCAGGCTGCTATTTATGTGATGGCTGTGCAATTGTGAGGAGTGGCTCCAGGTGGTTTATTTCAACATGATGGTGCTAGGGTCTGATGAGCCGTGCCCAGAGATGAGACCATGCTGTCAAGTTATGTTGCTTACCCTGCAAATCGCCACAGCCCTGCTGCTTACAAGCTCATTCTTTTGATAGGCTTCCTGCTTCCAAGGAGCTTCCTCTGGACCTTCTTATTCAAATGTGTTTGTACAGCTTTAATTATTGGTCCTAAATAATGACACGTGCATCTTCTCAGGACCAGGTTTTGGCACAGGGAGTCTATTCCTGTCTTAGCCTAAGCAGGACAAAGGTGGTACACAGGTGGATTCCAGTGTGTGCTGACTTGGTTTGCCACATATTCCTGTGAGACTCCTGTGGATGTTTGCCAGCTTCCTTCCTTTTCTTCCCATAGAAATGGAGGTGTCACCAAGACCAGATCACTCTGGTACTGCACTACCCTGAGTCTCACATTATCTGTAAGTGCATTATCTGTGTTGCTCCTTCACCTCCTTTGGGAAACTGCTTGTAGGTCTGGAGAGATACTGCCCTGCCCAAAGGGTTTGGAGCTGGGCCGAGCACTCAGGTACTGCATGGGGTGTTGATGGTGCGCCCCAGCTCAGGGTGGTGTATCTACCTTTTATCCACTTCTGACCAGAGCTTATTTCCTGAATTTCAGTCTTGCGTCTGAAGTCTAGTCCGGACTATTCCTCTCCCCAGACTTTCCTCTGTGGAGAGTGGGGGAAGACATTGCCCTGGACATGGTGGGTCTGCGTTGGGATGTTTGAGCAGCTGATGCTGGCACTCAGAGCTCTTTCCTTCTCCCCTACAGCCTCCCTCTACAGCCCCCACGTGCCTGAGGAAGTTGGGAGATTCCCCACCCCCTCTGTTTGCAAAAGCTGCTTTCTGGGGTTGTGACTTTTAACATGCACAGACAGCTCTAATTTAGTCATTTATTTAGTTGACATATTTATTTGGGATGTTCCTTTGCTTCAGTTAAAGATTCTGTGACCAGTGCCCCAGGCGTGCTCAGCAGTACGTGAATGAACAAGATCCATCAATTACTCTTGATCAGATCAAACTGGCCGGGGAAAACTCACATAACTCATGTCCCTGCGCAGGCTTGGCTGGAGCTACACAGTTTGCCTTCCGCGACTGAGGGGCACATTGTAGCTCCCCTACAAACACACGGGCATTGGCACAGAGTGGGAGAAACAGCATTCCAGGGCTCCTGCTGTCCCTTCAGGCAATCTGCCTCCTTACCAGTGCTGTTTGTTTTGAGCCCTATTCCATCAGCTCACTGTAGGAAGGGAGAGGGTAAATACGGGTACTCACAGCTCTGGCTGCTGTACTCAAACCTGTAGTGAGACAGTGTACTGCACCTTCATCTTTAGAGTTGTGGTTCTCTTCTTCCAAGCATCTGCATGGAAAAAAAGCCTCTACTTTCTTAGCCCTAAATGTTGGTCCTACAGCATTGCTACTCAAAAAATGAATGTTTTGGTGCCTCCTTCCTTCGCTCATGTCTCATTTGGTGTTTTAACCATACAGGCCAAATGGAGAAACACCAGGGCATGACAGGTAGATTGGCAGTCCTTCTGTCTTCCTTATAAGCTGCTGCCTGAGCAGAATGGGTTTGCAGAGATTCGTGATGGGTTCACTTGGCTAAGGACAGCCTGGATGCTTCAATCGTGTTTGTGTCTTAGCCACTGTGGAGAAGAGCTGAGTACTGCACTTGCACACAGCTGCTGTTCAAAATGTGTAGTCTGAAAGGTGTCGGCAGCCTGGATGTGGCTGGATGTACGTAAGTCTTAAGCCAAGCTGTGCTCTCATGAGATTTTTTTGCCAAGAGCTATGGTACTTCTGATGTGCAGCATGTTACAGCAGACTTGAGGGTCTCTTCCATCTCTGAACGAAATGCACTTAAGAAAACAGAGTTTGTGCTGTCAGGATACTGATTGAATCAAACTTGCTCTCTCTTCTCTCTTACAGGTTACCAGGACAATGCCAGTACTTAGGGCTGCCGGTTGCTGATTACTTCAAACAGTGGATTAATCTGAAAAAGGTACTTCTGTGCAAACTGCTATGGTCCCTGTCTCCCTCTCTCCCTCCTCCTATTGTCCTTCACTTTTCCTCTTTAAGGAGGTGTCTAATAACTACTGCTGTTTTGCATTGAAATGAGTTATTTTCTCAGAAGCTGGGCTGAGCGAGTCCTCCAGCTCCCTATTGTATCTCCTCTAATAGAGTCTTACTGTACTTGATGGGATGTGTTCTGCAGCTGGGGAGAATGCCATTGTGGCAGGCACAGCGCTATGTCTCTGCATAATAGTAGGACAGTGTGAGGCCCCTTTTTCAGTGAAGGTTGTGTTGGTAGCAGTGTTGCTGACTATGTTTTGTTTTGCAGCCTTATAAGGCTCCTAGGAGCATGGTTCCCTTCAGATCAAATTCTGGTTGAGAAATGTGAAAATACTCCAGTATAAAAATCAGCATTTCCCTGTGTGGGAAGGGGAGATGTCTCAGCAGCATGTCCACCTAAGACAGCAGTGATCACTTTGCTAAGCAAAATGCTTTGGACTCAGTCCTGTCTGGTGCCTTGTCTTGCTCCATGCCTTCACTGCGTGGTTAAGGGGCAGCCTGCTGTGCATCCACGCGGTCTCCGGGCACAGCTGCTCCATCTGCACAGAGAAAGTGTGGTAATGCCGTAAGTCACAAACCAAAGTGGGAAGAAAAGAACAAGTGTGCTTACAAGTAGTAGCAGGGTGAGGGAGGAGGCTGTGGTCTCGTGCACAAGAGAAACTGGGGTGGCTCTTCTGGTTAAACCTTTGGATGAGTAAGATTCCCTTCCCCCATCCAATTTAGTGCTTTATTTGGGTTTCTGCACCTTTTAGTGGTAATTAGGGGTCTCAGTAAGTGGAATTTGCTTATAAACAGCTCATTGTACTTGCGGGCTTTTCTTTTGTTCTTTTATTTATTTATTGTTTTAAATGGAAGCATGAGTGACAGGCTGAGCGGCTGCAGAAGGACAATTTGCATGATCTGTTCCGTCAAATAGGGTAGAACATGAACTTAACAAGGGATGCTGGCAGCACATTCCTGGCTGAACTTGTCAAAGGGTCTTGTATTTCCCTGCTGTCAGAGCAAATCTTTTGGCTGATTGCTGGTCCTTGGTAAATGAAATCTGAAAGCACATTGGGGCATTCTGCAGTTCAGTGACCATTAATGATCGCCATTTGAAGTTCACTAAACTTCCGGTGAATGGATAGCAGCTAGATAACCAGCAGGTTGATGGCTACAGAATAATAATACTTTAAAAAAAATAAATCCCTATGTACTGTGATGTTTGCTAAGACATAGGTTAGTCCAGCCATGCTCCTCCTCTGGGCTTCAGGATGAATGACTTATTGCTCTTTCCCATAGTTCAAGGCTCCTGGATTTAGTGTGCTAGGAGCTGGGATTCATTGTGGAATGGATGTCCAGGCAAGTGGCTGTTCTTCAAGATGGGCGTTCGTGTATTGCACATGAGCAAATACTGTGGTACTAAGCTGAGAGCTGCTGAGCATCCATGAAGTCCCAAGCACAGAGCTACAGGCAGGAGGAGGGAAGCTGTTGCAGTGAAGTGCTCCCCTGCCCAGTTCTCTGAAGGGGTCACATGCTGAGCCTATAGGATGGGGGCGCGTGGGTGGGGTTGTCCTCCTCTGCAGATGTGTTACTTTGAAAGTAAAGCTCCAACCTCCTGCAGATCATGTGGGGAGGGGGTGTGAGAGGAATGTTCATCTTCCTCCAACCCCTCAAATCCCTTAAAAAAATTAAGTTTTTCTGCCATTTTAATATCTGACACCCTCTGACACAGTGTGGTTCCAGGGACCCTGCATCCCTCTGGGAAATGACCCACCTTGCAGAGGAGAGCAGGGACCTCTCCTGTCCCATGGTTGAGTTTCCTCTCCTGGGACTTGCTCTTATCCAGGGGCAAAGATCTTTCCATGTCACTCACTGCTCCCAGGTGTGTGTGGGGCATCTGCCTATGTGTTTTCACAAGAGAGGGTTTCCAGCCTGGATAATTAATTCTGTCCAAGCAGATGGACTCAATGGGGCCTCAGTTTCTGTTGAATGAGCTCCCATAAGACAGTTCTGACTTAGAAATACCTCCTAAGCTGAGTCTGCCTCTGACCTGATCCATGAAGTGAAGATGTTGGGAGATGGGCAGCAGGGTGGAGTGTGAAACTGATGATTTCTAGGTCATGGATAATGGAGTGACTTAAGTGTTTCAGATATCAAGAAAACAGGCACGTGTGACAGAGAGCAGCTTCCTGTAGCATGGCCTCACCTACATCTGCTGTCCTTCCTTTGGGGTCTGCTTGTGAGCGGTGATAACAAGAGGACCTTCCTGAGTTAAGGGGGTCCTGCTGCAACTACCAGGCAATGCAAGAGTGGGATTACATACAGACATGTTTGTGTACCTATGTGTAGTGCAGTAGCAACAAGATACGTTCCAGATTCCCTCTACCCATGCACACATGACTTCAGGTCCTCTTTGTCTCTGTTTTGTATCATTTTAAGAAACAGTCCTTGTCTGTACTCTTTACCAGAGCGTGGGTTGCTCCAGAGCTCAGCAGTCCTTCCCACAGTGGTGAGACAGTCTTTCTCTGGGTTCATTCGCCAATAAACTCCTTCCCTTGTCACTACTGTGCTGCAGAAGCAGTTGAGGCGAGAATCCTGTGCCTCCAGGCAGCTTTCACTATTTCCAAGACTTGCCCTTCAGGCAAGCTGAAGACAGGAATTGCCCCTGCTAGCTGCCACGCTTGTTTTGCCTCAGGCAAACTTCCTTGGATTGATCTGGCCGTGCAGATGGTGGTGAGCTCCACACCTGACTGCTGCAATGGTGGTCACAGTGTCTTGAGATCCATGAAAAAACCTTCTGTAGAGGACAGAGGGGAAAAAAGCTGCCTGTGCACTTGACCGTGTTTGCTGAAGTTTTACCTTGCCATGTGCCCCCCCAGCCTGCTAATGCATCCCTTCTGTCAAGCCTGATTGGTGTTTGCTGACATTTTTAATGTCACTGAGCGATCTTGTATCTCTAGTGAACTGTCAGTGTAGAGCTGACTCGGGGCAGAGAGTTTATCATGTTCTTCACTTCGATTAGCTCAGCCTTGTGGGAGGGCAGCAGAAAGCAGAGGAGGCTTTCTTTGCATGCTGCAACATTTCAGATATCCCCCTAAACCATCTCAATAGAGAGCCACCATCCCATATGCCAGTTCTCCTTAGGTACCTGTCATGTCGAGCTGCAGAGGCCCTGTGGGTTAGGACTGAGGTGCAGAACCTGAGTTACATCACTAGTACTGAATGCTCAGGGTGGAAATAACAGAGAATGCTTCATGTCAGGAGAGAGAGGCACCAATGGAGTAATATGTGCAGAAAACAGGAGGCTGTGGGTCAAGATTTATGCAGAAAGGAAAACCGCTGCAGCTAACAAGCTACAACCAAGCTGCTGCCCCAAGAGTATCCTCAGGTAGCCTGGATAAATTCATTAGTGCTTATTCTAACACAAGGATCAGCTCTCATTTGTGCTCCCTCTGCTCTGTCGTGAGCCTCTGTGGTTCGTTGTTCCAGGTCCTGCTTGAGTTAGCAGTGTGGTTGGTCTCGTCATGAATCCTCACCCTTGGGGCTGGAGCCAGTGCTGTGTTAGGCTGAGGACATGGTGCCTGCAATTGCAGGGTGACCAGGAGCCTGAGAATGGGAAACCCAGCAGTCAGCAGCAGTGTCGGCACCACCAGGCTGGGAGCAGATCACGGAGGGAGGAGGTGGAAGAAGAGGGGTGGAGCTAGATTTTATTACAATGAGTTTGTGCAAGAAAAACATTAGACAGATGATGAGGGTGTTAAAATGGCCAGACCAAAAGTCTAACCGAGATTGTCTCTATGCCAAAGCCCAGTAGCTGATGCTTGCAGGTATCACGGGGAGAACATGGCTTGAGTCAGCTTTCTCTGATTCCCAGCAATTGTGTCCTCAAGGACTCAGAGCTGGCAGCTGTCCCTGTACCACTGTGTCTAGCACCCACTGTTTTTACCACGTCTGTCAACCAGAAACTTGTACGTCCCTTTCTGCATCTGCTCATGCATTCAGATTCTACAGCAACCTGCAGCAATGACTTGCTATGTAATTATGCATCAATTATACTCTGTTTATTCATATGTCATGTGAAGATGCAGGTCCTTTTGTTTCTTTTAAACCTATTGTCAGATCATTTTCTTAGGCCTAGGTCTTGCATTGTGTGAAAGAAGAAGTAAATGTTGCTAGTTCTTCTCCATGGTGTTATTCTTGATTTGAGAGCTCTGCCATGTTCTTGCTTAGTTGTCTTTTGCAGTGCAGCAAAACTTGTTGGAGGGCTGGCACAAAGGCACTTTTGGACTCTGTGACTCTAGAACTGGTTTGTGGAAGTTATTTTTAGCACTGTGTACACTATCCTGATCTTCCATTTCTTCTCTGGATGTTACACAGTTAAAATATAGGAGGAGTGTTTTGGGTATCCACTAAGGATTTGCTTTGTTCCTTGTTTTTAAAATGCTATTTTATTTATTTTTTAAAAAAAAAATTGCAGTCTTCATGCCCATCATGCTGCTGGTTAGTCCTCAGGAGAGCTGTCCTGGCATGTTTGGCCATCTTTGATTTCTGTTCACAGGGTGCAGCATGTCTTTACATACAGGAATAGTAATTGCTTTAGAAGTGACAAAAAAACTGGTACTGGTTTGATATCCTCCTGAAATCCAGGAGAGTTTTCATGAAATGCAAGAGTTGAACGATGTGTGTGAAGGCATGCAACTTTCCTTTGCTGGGCATGATGAAACAGAGTTGACAGAGCCTTGGGGAGCACAACGTGACCATGCAGGGGTGCCATGGCTGTGCACAGAGCTGGCCTTTTCCAGGGCCAGCCTTTATTGATCTGTAGATATTCCTGGTTGGAAGCAAACTGTTAATACACATGCACAAATGTTTTAAGGTCACCTACTTGCATTGTGAAATCTGACAGAGGAAGCATGTAATAGGATGTTTTGTTAATATTTGGCTACT